GGGTGGCATTGTCTTTCATTGTGAATTTGCACTTGGGAAATGACCAGGATCGTAACAATTGGTATCGGAGCGGACTTACTTGCTGGCGAGAGGAGTTAGTCACCCTAAACCTAATTCCGAGTTAGGTTAGGGCTAACCTAATCTCGGATTAGGGTTGGAAGTTAGGGTTAAGTGGGGCAGTGGGGTATGTGGATACTGCCCCCACCTGGTTAGGTCATGTAGGGTCGACATTTGACCTGACCAGGTTGACTGAGTGAATGGATGGGGTGGCGAGACACAAAGGAGGCTGATTGGAGTAAGCGAGAGGGAGTAGAGAGTGAGAGGTACTCGCACCTGGAATCTGCACTTCAAGAAGACATTGAGTGACTTTTGGGCTTCCCCTCAAGAGGGAGACTTGATCGGAGGCTGCCATATCTGCATCGAAGAGCTGCAAGTTGCTACTTTGGTCTTCAGACATCGGCGGGGGATCCGGCTTTGCAACAGGGGTGTAGGAAGGCGCTCTTAGTCATGCTCGGACACTTCGTGTGGTGGTAGCTAGGGGTCAGGAGGACTTATGAGAGAGGAGGGTGAGTCGTTATCCATCTTTGGAGGCCGGGCCTCACAGGTAAGTGTCGTGTGACCTGGTTAGCCCGCAGGAGGTTGCCTGGTGCTTCATGGTCTGTTGGGGTGTGCTGGGCTCTCTTCCTCTTCTCTGCGGTCTTGGCTGTCTGTGTGAGCATGTGGATTGCTTTCTCACCTGATGGATGGATGGATGATGTATCTGTTCTAAATGACATATCTTTCTACGGTGCAATGTCTTTTCATTTCTGAATGGCTGTAGGGGTAAGTTCTTGCTGAAAGTTGTCTTTTCCTTTTCAGTACGGTAGAGGCAGTTTGGGACCGACTTGGTACCCCTATCACGTTGGTCCTGGTCCACGACCTACTTGGGACCCCTCGGGAYYCAGTGGGACCAGGCCCAAMGGGACAGGACCTTTCGGGCCCAAATCTGTTGCCGCCAGTGCTTCTCTTTGCTGTGCTGAACTTGGGGGACATACGGCTAGCAAGGGCATTCCTTTCAAGGGGATCTTGACTGGTTTTACCGCCTGTTATCACATACTGCCCCGCGTCTGGCTCGGCGACCGTCTGCACCCCTCGAAATCTCCATTGCTGCAGTTAGTTTTCTTCGGCTGATTTATTGTGATACATGTCCCTTGTCAGGTTAGACAATAGGGGATCTCCAGCTAATCTGATAAGTCAAAATGAATCGCCGCTCCGACTTTCTTCTCTGTGTGATCTTCTGCTTGTTTCTTTAATCTGAACTATCTATGTCCGGTATTGAGACATGTGCGCAGACAGTGGGAATAGAGAGAAAGGAGAGAGAAGGTGTTCTGTTTGAGAGTGTGAGGAAGGGCAAGAGGAGTGTTCGTCCAAACGTGAGGAGAGAGCGGACCCCTCTTGAGAGATCTACTAACACCCCTTCCTCTGACATGACGGACAGCACATCTGCCCAATGGCAGGCCATGCTGGACGCAGCAGACGAGAACAAAAAACCGTTCTTCCAAAAGCTTTATGATGATGTTGTGCAGAGGGAAAGGGAGGCAGAGGCAGCAGCCAGAGCCGCAAGCATAGCTGCCCAGGTGGCCCTCCTTCAGGTCCCGGAAGCCAATACTGACCGGTTCCAGGAGAGGTTAGTTGTTGTCGTAGCAGCCTTGGTTCGACTGCGGAGCTTAGAAGACCTTGAGTCCCGTGTAACAGCACTGGAGCAGCGGAATGCAGGCTGAGATAATCAGCCTCAAACAGTCTCAATTGTCTGCCCCCCGCCCTCCTAACCCTCGACCTGCTGAAGTCCCAGTCTCTCAATCTAACACAGTCCTCATGGCAAGAGCAAGTGGAACTGTGACGAGCGCAGGAATCGGTGCCAGCTCCTCAAGCGGCAGCGCCAGCAGTTCTGCACTAGTCATAGTCCCAAATGCAGGGATATCAGCCCAAAACGCCACAGTCCTTACTGGCGTACAGTACAGCGGTCCAGTAGTGGACAAGCGGGCAGCCACTTTGCCGTCCAAGTACGACGGGAAAGCGGATATCACCTCTTGGATTAGTTCCATGCGCTCATACTTCGAGGTCATGCGGACAGCGCAGGAGGACCGAAGCATGATCATGGGCACTAATACTGAGCCCGCCGTACGGAATCACATTGAGCTCCAAGCTGTAGCTGCAGGTTATGAAAGAATTGACCTGACTGAGTGGCTGAAGGTAACCCATGTACGCGCCCTTGAGGACCTTCTCATCACACGGTACCAAGATAAGCATGTTGCGCTCAAGGCTAGGCTGAAGCTTGAGGCCCTCAATGGCCAAACATGGAGGTCCTCCATGCAGGCTTTGGAACAGCACTTGACTGGTTTGTTCACCACTCTAGACCTGGGAATGACCGACGTGTCTTGTATGGATGTAGTCATGGGAGTGGCCCCTAAAGAATACCTCTCCCTACGAGGACTCAAAGACCATACCACTTGGCGAGAGCTCATGACAGATCTAGTCAACCTAGAGGCCAAGGACCTCGCCAGGCGTAAGAAGGCGCCCGCTGCAGATGGAAAACCACAACGCAAGCGGTATGGAAGCAGCAACCAGCTTGCCCTGCATGAACATCGGGAGGCTGAAGATCAGTCCTATGCGGATGATCTGTCTCTAGATGACGATCTAGAGCCGGACTTCGATATGGGCTGTTCCACATCAGCCATTGAGTCTGACGTAAATGAAGACGAAAAACTTAATGTGTTTAAAAAGACTGCTTCAAACAAGGGGCCTAATCGTGGTTCGGGTAAGGGAACTGTTGTCCACCTCCCCAAGAATGCGAAAATCCCTGAGAAACCAGAGGGCGCATCTACCAAGCCTTGGGAAGCCCTCCGTATCAGTCAAAAGGAATGGGAAAGAAGATCTAAACTGCGCATATGCTTGCATTGTCAAAAGTCTGGGCATGTTGTGCAGGACTGTTATAGACTTCAGGGAAACAGGCAAAGGGCGTAGAGGAGTCATCAGCACTCCCCACAACAAGGGAAGCTGGAACATCAGTTGCAGGCCCCTCCGATGAGCCTGAATCTGATCGACAACCTACTCTTGAAGCCCGGAACGATGCTGAATCCAAGGCTGCTGTAGTTCATGTGTTAGACACTGAGCCTTGGGAGGAGTCGAAGGAAGTTGACTTCCACGCTCACCTGGAACATTGGCTGCAGCTCAAGCAGCAACGCCGTGTTCAAGGGAGTGTGAAGCTAACCTTCTTTAAACTGCTAATTAACCGTCGATACATCCGCGTGCTGATCGATAGTAGTTCAACCACTAATTTCTTTTCTCCTAACGGGATTCGTAAGGCGGGTTTGGGAATGAAGCAAGTGGAACTGCAGAACCCTTGTCAGACCCAGGTGGGCAACCAAGAGGTTGTCACCTCCACACATGTTGTCAAAGGTGTGCGCGTCACCTTTGACAAGGACCGCACTGTCACACATGAGCTCAACTTTTATGTCATGGACAACTGTCCGTTCGACGCGGTCATTGGCTTGGGCTGCTTAAAGGCTCATTGCCTAAGGACCACGTGGGCGGACAATCAGTTCGTGGTGCATGATGCCAAGGGGAACGAGCGTACCGTCTTATTGGATGAGACGCGCGAGTCTCCTGTGACTCTTCTAAGTGCAAACAAATTCTGCAAATCAGTGCGCAGGCGCAAGGAAGTTGAGCATGTACATGTAGCTTTTGTAAAGCCTCTCCATGTGCCTTCTACTTTTGCTGCATTTTCTACCTCGGTAAGTAACTCTACTTCGACCACCTATACTTCTAATCCATCTACTTCTACTGTAAATAATCCCTCTACTTCTGGTCCAAGCACTTCTAATCCGGTTGTAATTGTTGTAAATTCTCAATCTAATTTTCTTTCTCCTGATGAGGATGATCCTCCACCAGAAGTCCCAACAAACATTCGCCAGCTATTAGATCGATTCCCTGAAGTTTTGGCCGAACCTCGTGGAGTTCCCGAGCGTCCGGTCAAACACAAGATCGAGATAATAGAAGGGAGTGTTCCTCCAAAGGGCTGCGTCTACCGTATGGGACAAGGCGAGTTGGAGGAGTTGAGGAGGCAGATTGATGACATGATCGATCGTGGATGGATTAGGCCTAGTGAGTCTGACTTCGGTGCACCTATCCTGTTTGTGCCAAAGAAAGGAGGCAAACTCCGGATGTGCATTGACTATCGTGGACTAAACCGTACCACCCGAAAGAGCGTGTATCCCTTGCCTCGTATAGATGATTTGCTAGATGTTGCAGGTGGGTGCAAGGTCTTCTCCAAGATCGACCTCAAGTCTGGCTACCACCAGATTGAAGTTGATCCGAGTGACCAGCACAAAACTGCATTCAAAACACGCGATGGGCTGTACGAATTCATCGTTATGCCCTTCGGTCTTACGAATGCGCCAGCCACATTTCAGTGCCTCATGGACAAGGTACTCTGCCATCACCTCAACAGGTTTGTGGTTGTGTACCTTGACGATATCCTGATTTTCAGCAAGTCCATGGAAGAGCACGTCAAGCACCTTGAGGAGGTCTTGCAAGTCCTCAAGGCGGCACAGTTGCACCTCAACTTAGAGAAATCTGAGTTTGGAAGGGACAACGTCATCTATCTTGGGCACCGGTTGTCTGCAAACGGCCTTGAGCCGGAGGCAACCAAGGTTGAGGTCATCCGAAAGTGGCCTCAACCAGCGAACGTACGCGAACTGCATTCTTTTCTTGGTTTGGCCTCCTACTACCAGAAGTTTGTGCCCAAATTTTCTGTCATTGCTCACCCACTCTCAAGACTAACCAGTAAGAATGCTGCCTATGCGTGGTGTGAGAAATGTGAGATTGCGTTCCAAGCCTTGAAAGAGGCATTGGTGAGTCATCCTGTGCTCCGCATTGCGGATCCCAACCTCACATTCGTAGTCACTACGGACGCGAGCCAGTTTGGGATTGGTGCAGTGCTGCAACAAGACGATGGTGATGGCCTGCGTCTGCTCGAATACTACAACAACTGCATGCCCAACCACAAGGTAGCTACCTCCACATACATGTGTGAGCTCTACGCCCTGCGCGAGGCGCTCACACATTGGAAGCATTACCTCTTGGGTCGTCACTTCAAGGTCTACTCGGATCATCAGACCTTGGAGTGGATTAAGACACAAACTGATCTCTTTCCGACACTGACTTGCTGGTTGCATGACATTGATGTGTACGATTTTGAGTTGAAACATAAGAAAGGCTGTTATAATCGTGTTGCTGATGCTTTGTAGCGCCATCCTGAATTCTTGACTTGCCTTGTGGGTTCGTATGACCTCCGAAGGAAACTGAAGGAGGATCTAGTCGAACACACCGCCAAGGATCTGGACCTTAGCCCCATCCTTTAGCAGCTCAAGGCTGACCCTAACAGTGAGCCTGATTTTCATGAATGCGAGGGTCTTGTGTTCCGCCGGTATGGGAAATTTGATCGTTTGTGTGTACCCAACCATGCGCCCCTCCGAACTCATTTCTTGGATTTGGCACATAGTCGGAGTGAACATTTCGGCTTTGAGAAGACTTATGGAAGTCTTCTGCAGCAGTTTGATCTGATTGGCCAGGAATGAAAGGATCTGCTCAAAAATTTATTGCTGAATGTCAGGTATGTCAGAGAACCAAAGTCCACAGGCATAAGCCTTATGGACTGCTGAGACCCCTCCCCATTCCTGATGGACCCGGTGAGTCGATTTCCATCGACTTCACGGACATGGGAAAGGTGAGTGAGGCAGAAAATTCACAAGTCATGGTCATCGTGGACCGTTTCTCTAAATTTCTAAACTTGATTCCTTTCCCTCCCCATGCCCCAACTGAACTTGTCATTGAAGAATTAAATCAGCAGTACATTCTGCAGTTTGGCACCCCAAAAACTATTGTGAGTGATCGGGACACCAGATTCATTAGCAAAGACTGGAAGGACTTCACCTCTCAGATCTATGACATTAAACTGAACAAAACTTCTGGTCGACACCTCGAAGCCAATGGATTGGCTGAGAAGATCAACCAGACTGTCATCCAACTACTTCGCGCATTGATTGTTCCAGATCAGAACACGTGGGACAAGGAATTACACAAAGTGAAGGGGCTGTACAACAACTCCATTCACTCTGCAACTGGTGTGACACCAAACCAGTTGGAATACAGATGACCGATGCATAATCCCCTCTCCTATCTGTTCCCCGAACGGTCACCTGGTCTGATGCCCGACATGCCTGGCTACAATGCCAAGTACGCACAGTTGCTCAAAGTTGTTATTGCAGCCATGAACAAGCGTCAGCATGCCATGATCAAACATGCTAACAAGTTGCGCAAAGGAGCAAAATTCAAAGTAGGGGATTATGCTTGGGTCAAAATGTCTGAGTTTTCTGATGAAGAGGGCGTATCACGAAAACTCCTTTCATTGTTCTATGGCCCTTGGCAGATCCTGACGGTGATTGGGAATGATTTTGGTCCTTCATATGTGATTGACGTGCCTCCTCATCTGCGCATGTATCCGGTCTTTCATGCGTCCAAACTGTTCCCACACATTGATGATGAGACGTTTCCCTTCCGAGACCCTATGATACCTCGCTCTATCGACGGCGGCCATGAGATAGACAAAATCGTTTCTCACGAGGGAAGCGGGAGAAGCAGACAGTACAAGGTTCACTTCCTCTATCACCCGTTGACTGAATTCTTCTGGATCGACCAAAAAGAGCTGCTAAAGAGTGCTCCCGGTGTTGTGAACGCTTATGAACGGCACATCGCTGAGGGACAGACTGCTAAATTTGTTGCAAAAATGACTCCTCACGGACTTACTATGTCTCTCTTGCTGATTTACTCCTACGATGCATTTTGTGCCAACTCTGAATGAGTTACTCGCTCGAAGGGACCTCGCTCTTGAGAGGGGGTTAGTGTAATGACCCGCCAAAAACACAGACTGAGAACACTGCTGATTTCTGGGATTTGCTGCTGGAATGAATGCCTTGCTGAAATTCCCGCATTCTGCTGTGATTTCCATGTCTGTGTGTGTGTGCGTGCCTGCTGGTTTGCATGCCTGTCTGAG